TCATGTGATATGACGTAATTTCGACTATTTCGACTTTTCATTTCGACTTTTGGGTTTTCATTTCGACTTCATGTATAATCTTCACCATCTCTACCAATTTCTGTCAAAACTAATTTCATATATTTTATCAAAGCCTCAGTTACTGTCTCTATTATGTTGAATCTTATCCGAAATATCATAATTCAAAGCAAAATCCATAAAATTCAGTTATCAATTGTTAATCCTAGATCTGATAGGTCCTGAAATGGCTCATAATTGGGTGATGCATAATTCTCAAATGTTTTGTGATCTTCATTATCACCTGATTCTTCATCATCTGATTCATTTTTATTACTACTACTACCTGAAATATTGTTTTCTTCAGTGGTATATTCAGAAGATTCAGAAAGCTCATCAACACTTTGTTCAGAATTGTCATCAGAAGAATTTATATTGGGTTTTGGTCAATTTTTGTACCTATTTACACATCTTTGAGATACAAATATAGAATCAGAATCCTCCTGATATTTATCATCTTCTGATTTATATTTAATAATTCATCTAGCTAAAACTGATGTTATTGAAGACTCTCCCATTTCTTTCTAAATTTCGAGTTGATGAAATGCATCCAAAATTAAGCTTTGTGAATATCAATATTTTATTATTAAATTACGTGATGATGATGTTCTAAAAGTAAAAGATATTTCTTTATCAATTAAACTAGTAATCGATCTGTTTTTTCTATAAGAAGCTGCAGTAGAAGATTGACTTAAGTCATTTTCTTCATCATCAAGTATGCTAGCAATTGACCTTTTTCTGCTCATTTTGATAATATATTTGAAAGAGAAAAAAAAAAGAGAAAAAAAAGTTCAAAATAGAGCATTTATAAGATAATCTTCATATTTTTATTGTTTTATATTCTTAATATTATTTTACAATATAAGAACGATTTACATATTATTTGTTGCATATATTATCTATCAAATAATACTTTATTTAAAGTTTCTGATTCAATTATATTAAAAGTTTATTTAAGCTTATTTATTTTTGATTTATAAATGAATTACAAATTCGTGAAGAAATTAAAATTTTATCACGTTAGATAAAAATTTTGCTTAAAGATGTTTTTTTGTAAAAAAAAATAAAATAAAGAAATAAAGAAATATTATTAAATTCAACTACAACTAGCTAAAATTTCAACTAAAAACTGAATTTTATCTTATATAAATAATATCAAAAGGATAATTTATCAAAAAATCTAATGTTCAAGTAGAATTTAAGTTTATTTTTGAAAAACTGAGTCAAACGAACTATATCGCAAGATTATTTTATCATAAATCATTAATATATAATGAGTAAGACTAGTTGTATGAATAATATCGCAAGGATATTTTTGTCAAATAAAACTAATTTTAAGTTGAATGAGTCAGAATTTAGGTTGATTTTTGAGAAACTTGAAGTCGAATAAGCAATATCTCAAGAATATTTTAAATATTTTATCGTAAAGGTATATCAAAATCGAATGAGAAAGGATTAGTTGATTTGAAATATAAAAAAGTACTAATTTTTCAATCGACTTTCTTTAGAAAGTAGCAATTTCTTAAATATCTTATTATTTTCCTTAAAGATTTTCTTATTTTCAAAAAAAAAATCACTTATTTTTTTTTTTAAAAAAATAATTATTTAATATTTTCTTGCATAATAATTTCTTACATGCATATATAATTTATTAATGAATTATATAAATTCAATTTTCGCATTTAACAAATCTCTATTAATTAACTTTTATCTTTTCTATAATAGTATGAAAAGAAAAGAACCAAGTAAACAACCAAAGAAACAAGCGCAACAAGTACAATAAGCAAAACAAATGAAACGTAAATCTGATGAGAAGCTGAAAGTCCCAGAATGTAAGTTTATTATATCATATTATATACATTTTATACTCATTTAAATTTCCAAATTATAGATCAAGTGAATATTGATGAATTGCAAAAATGATATGGAAACATTCAGCTCTCATTAAAATTCTAACGTTAATCGACAGCGGCTCCTTCAGCTTTAATCGAAATGATAACAATCGACAAATCTGATGATTTGCAAACTAGTATCAATTTGTTTCATTCTCTGATTAATAAATATAGTAATCTAACAATGTATTTCTTATATTCTTATATAGAAAATCGAAAGTTGAAGGAGCAACTCGATGATTTTTGCAAAATGATTGAGCAACTTGAGCGAAAAAGTCTGATCTCTCCTGCGAAAATAAATAACTTGAATCTGAAAACTAATTCCTTATTGAAATTAACGATGAATTCAGCAGAAAAAATGACGATTTGCAGGAGAGGTAAAATTTTATTTAAGAATACTTATTTTAATAATTTTCTTACCTCTTCTTTTTTTGATATTTCAGGTTCAATCAATTGCAAAAATTCGGCTGCCCAAATTGATAAGACAGCTGAAAGATGGTTCCAGTGACGAGCTTTCTGCAAAATGACGAAAAGTGAAAGGCAAGAAACCAGTCTGTTGTACCGATGATGAGATGAATTATGAATCGATGAAAATTATCTCTGAGGACAATGGCAATTCGCCAGTAGAAGGATTCAACACGAAAAGAGCCAGGGTATATTTGAATTTTGTTGATTGTGTTGATATTTTAAATTACAAACTGATTTCTTTTTCTGATTTTCATATTTAGGCCGAAATGAAAGTGGTTTTAAAAACCATCGATTGGAAACTGGATTTAGATTATGATGAAACTTTTAATAGCAAAATAAATATCAAAAATGATTAAGTCTAATCCTGGAATTACGAAAGGTCTTGACTCTGAATTTTTGACCTTCTATTGACTAATTGACAACTGGCTTCAAAGCTTCCATAAATCTCAACGATTGACTCGATGATACAAGTAAAGCAGAAAGGCTATTATGGAACAATGATAACTATACGCAAATAATCGAATATATGAAGTTATTTAATTCCAATTTTAATCTGAATTTTGATCTATTAAGTTTATTTAATTTTTAATTTATTATTTCTAGATAAAATTACAATGAGTAAAGATCACTAAACAATTATTTGTGAACAAGCACTTACGAATTACGAAATACGAAAAGCGGTCTTTATTGAAAATGCTAGCTAATTACCTATATCATTCTCCTGAAATAAGCAAGACAAACGAAAACAACCCAGAACAAAAGTCTGTCATCGCTGTATACAATTTCTTATGGCGATTGGTCAAGGTTTACAATTTTTTTTAAAAAAATCCCATTTATAAATTTTAGTAAATTACTAAACATTTTTTTATTATTATAATTAAAAAACCTCCTTCATAGTGTACTCGACCAAAATGCTACAACCTCAGTCGCTTTGGCAAGAGTACAGCGAAATTGAATATATAATGACCAGATGCAGCATTTTGACTGGTTGCATTCTTTAAACGCCTCTTGAATGGTTTTGAATTGAACAACCAAATATATTCTTCACCATTGAGTCGAAAAATCAGTGAAGAAAAATATATTACAGATAACAAAGAACTTGTCGAAGTCGAAAGAGGCAAATATCGACATTCAGGTAGCAATAAACAATACAATTCTGATCATCTCGAGATGGATGAATAATAGCGACAACTATTTTGAGATGGTAGATTTGATGACGACGTGACAATTTTTAATATTTTTTTTTCTTTTGCTTATTTTATTTTTTATTTTATAAATAGGAAGGCGGGTGGGATATTTTAAGTTTTTTTTTTTGCTTTTTTTTCGCATTTTGCTCTTTTTTTTATAAGATATTTTAGTTTTTTTTATTTGCTTTTTTTCGCATTTTGTTTTATTTATTTATAAATAGAAGGGTGGGTGTGATAATTTATTTTATTTTTTGCTTATTTGCTAGAATTTTAGTTTTAAATAGGAGGCGATTGAATAATGATAATAACGATAATGATTTATTGATTACAATAACAATTTTTTCTTTTCTTTTTTTTAGTGATTTGCTTATTTTTTAGTAGTATTTTCTATTTACTTGTCACATAATGAATAAAATTAATAAAATTAATAAAAAAATATTATTTTCTGAAATTGTAAAATAAAATAAATGTAATAAATTTTTGGCTAAAAGTCATACGGATGATTGATGAATGATTGATAACTTGTTTTAGGCAGTTTTTAGATAGATGATTGATGGCGATTGATGACCGATTGATATTTCCGTTAACTCATATTGTGTTAATCAGAATTAATGTAAATCAGCCCTAAATCAGCTATCAATCATCCATTAATCGTCCATCTGATTTTTAGTTGATTTGTACCCATTTCGACCAGTGAATATGAATCAAAAATCTCATTTTTTGTTAAAAGTTTCCCGTAATCCATTTTTAATAGATCAGCTCCTATATCGTGAAATATAGTATGCATTTTAGACTTGCATGATCGAACTCAGCTCAAATTGTATTACTTTATTCTTTAATTTTTGATGGATCCTTAGAGGCATGCAAAATAGTATAAAAGTTATTATTCATATTAGGTTTGCAATGTTAAGTATAACTCAAATCTCGTCACTTCATTTCTTGATTTTTGATAATCCCTCTAGAGGCATAGAATTGTAAATTTTTTAATATATTATTTAGAATTAAAATTAAATTAGAATAGCTATATTAAACATTGTAATTCTTAGTATCAAAAAGGCTAATTCCTAGCCAAGTTCTATATTAACATCTAGATTTGAATCAAATTAAGCTAGAGGTTTGAATTTAATAATTGATTTATATATCTAAAATGAATTCATAGGCAGTCAGGAAACTTATTGTTTATTATTTAGATTTTTATTCTAGAAATTCCTTTTATTATAATTACATTCATATATTTATTTAAATTTGAATATTATTTTTATAATATTTTAATTCAAGAATACAAAAGTCTTATTTTAATGGTATATATATAAAAAAAAAAAAAAAATATTAAAGAGAGCATAACCAGTTTTTAAACAAAAATATTATACTTTACAATACTATAAAATAGTAGCTTTAAACTGAAATAAGTATTCTTTATTATATATAAATTAAATGCTTATTTAACTATTTTTAAATCATATAATTAAAATCTGATTTTGTATGTACTAAACAACCCATATGCTTTCTTGCTAAATTTATTTAATTACCCCATTTATATTTATAAAATTAATGATAAAAATAAGATGTAAATTTAAAAATCTAAAATCAGATATAAGTCAGATAATTTTTATTTATTTATTTGATTTTGATCAACAAGTTAAATAAACTTCTCTATTTCTATTTTTTCTATTATCTTTTACTTAATAATTTTCTTTAACTTTTAATCATGTCTAAATAAAGTAAACAAATTGAAGAAATAATAAAATTAGATTTAGAAGATAATTCAAATTCTACTTCAAGTTTAGTAAAAGAAAATAGAAGTGATATTTGGAAGCATTTTAATAAATTTAAGGATAATAATAACATTTTATGGGTTAAATACAAATAT